AGGATGGACCACTCACACCTTTTTCCTCATTCTTTTAATTGGCCATGAGGTACGTTTAATGAGGTGCTGCCACCACAGATTCAAAACCACTGTTTGTGAAATCTAAGGGTGACATCATGGAGGGTCAGTCTATCTTCATACACAGTCTATATTCAGAAATCACAGTGTGCATTTAATGACTGTGATGCTCGTGCATTAGTAGAACAGAAGCAGTTCTTCCTTAAGTGGCCAAGAACATTAATGTAGGACTTGATCAGACTACCACCAAGAACAGTCCGTTGACAGTTACCTAGAAAGACATTATAGTTGGTTTCCAGTGTGCTTAAACCACTCATTACAAAGATGAATGCGCATTTGGGAGTTCGGTGGTGCAGAAATCGTAGACACTGCTCGATGGAGATGTGGAAAAAAAAAAAAGTGGTACGATCAGATGAGTCATCTTTCCACTTATTTTGAACAAGTGGGCGACTGCATGCACCAAGAGAACTGTACAGGCCTGAATAATTGACCCCTACAGTGAGAGGATCTGGTAGCTCTGTTATGTTGTGGGGGGGTATGGTTTGGCTTTGAGGTAGGGGATCGCCGCAGAGCCATACAAAATCCTTTATTCGTGATATGATGAAACGTTTCTATCCTGATGGAAGCAGCCTCTTCCAGGATGACAGTACCTCCATCCACAGGGCACGAGGGGTCACTGAATTTGATGAGTAAGGAAAAGATGTGAATCAAACGCTGTGGCCTTCAGTCACCAGGTCTTTACACAGGAGTTTATGGACCGATGCGTTGGACGGCGCTCTCCACCGCCGTCATCGAAACGCTAAGTGATAGAATATGTTCTGGAAGAATGGTGTTCGTACCTCCAAAGTTCCAGAGACTGTGAAGAACCAAAGTGGTGGCCCAGCACCTTACTGAGACGCTTTTCCTTTAATTTGTCACCCGCCTGTGACTCACGTGTTTTCAACATGCATGATCATGTTTCGCATGTTTGGTGGAAAGGACAGTTTATTTTTTATTACCTCGCCACACCTGATGTTTTAGTAAAGCCCCCTGAAGAGCCTTACTTCATTTCTTACGGATTAGAGCTTTGCTAGAGTGTTCGCAGATGTGGGGTGGGGGGGTGGAAGAAAAAAAAAAAAAAAAACACCTCTAATTACTCAGAGTTCACTTTAATGGCTCTTGCAGATGAAATGTGAAAACACCTTTTAAAAGCCATCTAATTTGTTTTGAGCCTCGTGGCAGGTTAAATGTAACTCAAGCGGATGGTGCTTCGTGGCTTTTATCAGTCAAATTGAACTCTGCGTAATGCCCAACTGTCTTCCTGTTGACAGTGACGGCTGTAGTCGCTGTAATTCGGAAGCATGTGTCTCTGATGCTGCCGTGACACAGTGCAGGAGCGCACATTCCAGCGTGGCCTGACATGCAGATGATGGTCTTTTTTAGCCTATATGGCTGTCAGAAATACTGTACATGCCAGTAATATCTGCTTTATATTTAGTCTCTCTGTGTCACAGCATGCTGGAATGGCAGCTGAAATTATGTTACCTCATAACTCTCCTTAAAGTCCCGCTTTAAAAAAGAACAGATTAAGGGCTGACGCTGCGAGTTTCCCAGAGGTTTTCATGTCATGCTGCCTCTCGGTAAGAGGTCTGCTGGTGTATTAATTTACATAGGACAACAGTTTTCTGAGAGAGGAGGGCTGTCGGCTCTTCTTTGACCAGGTCACTTCTGGCTGCTGAGCTGTCGAAGCCTCGGTGAATAATGAAAGTTAAAGCTCTAAGGCTTTATCTGCAGGGATTGTTTTTCAATCAATAATATGATATAATAATGAGATTAAAAACAATATAATTTATAACTAAAAGTAGTCTAACTTCACTTGGTTTTTTTTACATTAAAATATGCAGATGACACCTAATTATAATTTAACAATGCAGATTTGAAACCACTGAGCATCATCACTTAAATGTTAAATTATTCAAAGCTGTAATGGCATTACTTCTTAGTTGAACAGTAGGGTGTTTGCTCTTATGTCAAATTTAAAGGTAGCAGTTCATATTTAGTGTATATGTGCAGACCCCAAAGTGGGAACTCGAAAGACAGCACATTACTGAGATTTTCTTTTTTTAACTTTTATTTTTTATTTCAGCCTCAATCCTCCTCAGCGTGGAGGATGCCATTGTTTCACACATTTCTAGAGAGATACTTTTTTTTGCTTAAAGGACTTGTGTTGCTCTGCCTTACTCTTTAAAATACCCCCAAAGTGTTGTGTTGGATTCAAGTCAGGCGGCATAGCTGACCAGGTCAAAGTTTTCACTTTTTCCCCTTCTGTGCTTTGGATTGTTATTATGCTGGAATATTCCTCTTCTGCCAAGCTCCTGCAGACCGAGCGTCATCTTTTCAGACAGCATTTTGATGTCGCCGCCGGCATTCGTGGCGCCACTTCTAAATGTTATCTCCCTGACACCTTTTACACTCATGCATCACACTCTCATATCTGTGCTTCACTGTCAGGACCGTGCGCTCACTGTGGCAGTCCTGGTCAAGATTCATAGCCAAAGATGCAGGACCCCATCGGAGTTGAAAAACTTTATCTATGTCTCATCTGACTGGAGAATGTGCTTTGCTTTGGGAAATTGCGGTTTTGTGCCAAAGAGCTCGCAAGGGGGTCCATAGAGATTGATGCTGTACAGTGTCCTTGACACTGTCTTTAGCCTTCACAGAAACTCAGATTTCCATTTATAACTCTGGTGCCAAATCCGAAGCACTTATCCGTCTGTTTTTTCAAGCTTGATTGTGCAAGTAGCGCGCTGTCTGTGGTGCCATTTTAGGAGTATGTCCACCGTGGCTATGATTAGTGGCTTTGTTTTATGCCTGCTGGAGATGTGATCTTCTTTCTGTGCTTTTTCATTTTTGTGAAGTTTCATAATCAAATTTCTCTGTATCAGGTAGAGTCATGATACCCAGATATCACAGCGAATTAACTTTTGTTGCAGCGAGTTTGTACTTTGGAGCCTTTAATATATTTTTTTGAAGTATTGTGCTTTAAGTGCTTGTCGACTTCGAGGTGACGCAGTCGTTGAAAGGGTGACGCAGTTGGAATGATTTTATTGCATAGTTTTGTACCCACTTCTGTTTGTTGTACCGCATCGAGTATTTCAACAACTTCGCTGACCGGCTCTTTGAAATTTGAACTCGACAAGCAACCGAGCAACGCTATCTGCTTCCTACCTGAGTCTGGTGTGACTTTTGGAGTGGTGAGAGGTATTTCCTTTTGTAGAGCCACTTCTGACTGAGTGTTATTTTAAGCAGTGTAAGCTGAGCTCGCTAACTGCAGAGTAGGCAGCAAACCTCATTTTTGTTGTTTGACTGCCGCACAGAATTTACATTAATTGGCTAGAGTAGAATTTGCCAGCAGAGAGTTGCGGAGAGTCGAATCAACAGCTGTAACTTGAATTTTTAGGGTTTCGCTTCAGCTCTTGTGATAAACTCGAATTGCAATTTTTGAATAAAATCCAAAAAAAAAATCTGAAGTTATGTGATGTACCATTAAACCAAAGTTCCATTTTCACATCACCCCCTTAATGCGGAGAAAAAGGTGTTATTAACTTCCCTTTACCCGGTACACCGTCTTCTATTCGCAATTCCTTGCGTCTCGGCTCCGCCACTAATAAGGTCGCTAATCATTTCTTCACCCTGATCTATTCTTCCTCTTTGAGCGCTCGGTTCAATCATCCTGTCGCTCACCTGGAGTTAATAATGGATTATTATGAATAATTATCATGAACCTCCTGCCATCTCTTTGTTCACATGTCTTTCTTCTGTCTGTCTGTAGGAAGGCGAGACTAAAAGCGTGACGGTTGTCCTTCTTCGTGAGGGTGGATCTCTGGGTTTTAACATCATAGGAGGAAGGCCATGCGCGGTAGGTTGAAAGCCGAGCGTCTCCGAGGTTTCATCCCACCCCCCCCGGTGATCAGCCAAGTGTCATATGGCGAGCCAGGAATGAGTAGCGCATACACCACAAGCCTCTCCTCTGTACAGACTGACACAGCTCAGACAGTCATGCATGTGTTTCTTCGTCTGTGGATAGATGGACCGCATCTATCAAGTTTTTATTGTGTTTATATATTGGTCTGGTTTAGCGGATTTGGCATTACAGATTAAAAAAACTATAATTACTTTTATGAGAGTTAAATCTGGGATTATGGCTTCGACCGCAGTTGTTTTGTCTCTAATTGAGGGGATTTTTGGCGGTGAGGTAAACACAGAGGAGAGGAAAGGGTCTTTTCATCCCGGCCTCAACCTTTCACAGCCACTTTTTTTGCCTCCGGGCTCCCAAGTAAAAGTCATTAATGATGCCACACTCTCTCCGCCGAGCGAGGAGTTGAAAATATCTCAACGCTGGTTGCGGCTCTATCTTCCATACATGGAGCTTCTTTCTGCAGTCCTATTGAAATGGTGCTCCCCGTATCTGTTTCACCGGCACTGTTACAGGCTTGTTTTTCCACAGCCACAGTGACGCACTTTTCTGTAGTGACATAGATTATCACAGTAAAACTTTTTATAGCGGGAAACTATAAAAAGATCGACACATAAAAAAATTTAAAAAAAGAGCCGTTTTTTTGGGGGGTTTTTTCACCCGAGTCTCATAGATTTGCAACCTGCCTCGCTGTTGTGACAGAGCCATGCATCAAACTCAACCGTACGACAGCGGAGATAATACTTGGCTTTCGCTTTCCCGGCTAGCCTCAAATCAACAGTCGGTGTAAGAGGCTATTCATTAGACTGGAAATAGCTAATATCCCAGTAGACTTTGACACATGCGTTTCATGTGGCTGTTGCACTGGTACGGCTTGGTAGGCGCAATCAGCTGCCAAGGGTTTTGCGGGATAGTTTTGTCTACGACTCTTGAGATAGGGGGTAGTGGTGGCGAGGCAAAGTAGGATTTTTACAGCAAAGCATTGAAGTGTTAACGCCGTACATGATGCCCCCTAAAAAAGGAAGCAGACCAGAAATTCTTAATTAGCATCTGTGCTGTGACTTTCTTCCTATTAAATTGTGCTTGTGTTGCAGAACTGGGCAGGAGCGTAGAACACGTTTCATGCGTTTCATGAGCCGTTAACCCAGACTTAGCGCTGACTCTGGGGGTCACGGCCGCAGCGTCGGATGCAGACGACTGCGGGTCGCTTCAGCGTATCCACATGTCAACATTTAGGCCCTTCTGTAGGCCGGGGTCGTCCCTCCCGGCCTGGGAAGCATCTGAAGTTAAAGCTAATCCATAAGTCCTCACTCAAGGGCAGGGTTAAAGGGTCAGTTCACCCCAAAAAAAACGACATATTTTTCCACTTAACCTTAGTGGTGTCTCGCCTTCCAGATATTTGTGTTATTTTAATGCGCCCAGATTTGAAGATATCTGCCTTGAAATTGCTGCTTGCTATGAAAAAAAGTGAAATCTGTCGATGAATTATTTCAATCCTCGCTTAAATCTTCAATGTTTTGAGCAGCACAAACTAAATATATCTTGGTTATAGGGTTGGCAACAGGTTTTTTTTTTCCTTTTTGTTATTTGGGCGACCTTACTCTTTAGCTTTGGAGACTTGCAAAACTTGTTCATGTTTTTTTGCTGTGGGCAAACCATGTGAATCCCTGCACAATGTTCCCAGGGTGGTTTAAAGTACTTTAGCAAGTTTTATTGAGAGATTTATTGAATTTTCTTTATGTGCTATTCTCCATAACAGTCTGAGCAGTGTGCTTTTATTACGCTTCAGAAAATAACTGTAATTTATCCCACAGGATGACAATGACAGCACTTCAAATGAAGGGATCTTTGTGTCCAAGATCGTCGAGAAAGGTCCAGCAGACAAGGAGGGCGGCCTTCAAATCCACGACAGAATAATAGAGGTATGTGACCTACGCTGTGGTGCTACAAGCAGAGGAGAAAAACTGAAAATTGATGTACTATAAATGGCTGTCTGCTCCGTAAAGACGCGGGGAAACACAAAACCATCACTCAATATTTATGTCAGTGACCTCTGAGCTCCGGCTGAAAGCAGCAAATGTGACACGTCAAATGCGAATTTGCATTTATTTCAGCTCCTGAATGTAAATCCTGCAGACAGCGAACATTTCAACATATATTTCTACCAATCAACACTGAGGCGAAGCCTTTGTTAAGTGGGGCATCACTGCAGATAGACCGAAGATAAATCTTTGGCTTTGATAGAGAGAGAGAGAGAGAGATGCAGATAGACCGAAGATAAATCTTTGGCTTTGATAGAGAGAAAGAGAGAGAGAGAGCCCTGTATTTTCTTCCCAGCTAACAAATCCCTCATGACAGAGCTGCCGTGTAGCATCCTCCTCTCGCCGTTAAACCGAATCTCGTGTGGAAAGGCCAGCTCACCCTGAGGTCAGCTCGGGGGATGCGTTGAAAAAACTCGACATCACAAAGGTTGCTTTTTTAGAACAGTTGTCAACCAGAATCTTACACAATGGCTGCATTGAAATGAGAGGTTTATGTGGATTGCGAGTGTGTATTACCGCGCGCCGCAAGATGACAAATATGGTTTGTCGCAGGCTTTATTGTCAAACCTCAGCGAAATTGCCCCAGAGCATTTTGACCAGCGCGTTGCTCCCAGAGATGTTTGTGGAAAGTGTTTACAAGAAAAGAAGACTCCCAACATCTGGACTACGTTGATTGCTCTATCCTGTCGTTCTTGCAGTCGGATGCTAAGTACTGGCTGAAAAATGCCACAAGTCCTCTGGCACAAGCCTCATGCTATGGTTCTAAACGATGTGGTTGTAAATACAGCAACGCCATAACTAACATGTTCAGTTATGATCTCCTCAAGTTGCACAATCAAGTGTCTCTGAGATTTGCAGCGAAGATCCCCCTGACAAAAGGGCAGGTTGAACCAGAAGTTCGCTCAGATCTTGAGGGTCGGAAAGGAACTCCAAGTGGAGAGAGATTAGCTGGTGTGTCGCAACAACGTGTACAAGTGTGTCTTTGCATACATCTGCAATGGCTGCTTTTACGAGGTTGCGTGCATGTGTCGGCCCGGGCGTGTGTGAGCTCAGGAAGGTTGGGGGAATCATGTTAATGGGCCAGATGTTGCTGTATTTGGTTACTAAAGAAGGTATCTCATGTAGGGTTTTAATGCTGAGATAGCCATTCAATCTTTATCGGCCTCAGAAAAAAAAAAAAAACGAGCGCAGATTTTGCTGTAGGACAATGCTGCACTTGTGTTTGTCTTGTTCTCCAGCTATTGTGAGCGAAGTCATGAAATCTCTCCGACGAGGAGAAACACGGACGCGAAGAGCCTGAGGAGGTAGCAAAGCACCCTATTAAGTAACCTTTTCTTTTCAAGAGGTGAGGGATTAGTAGACAAAACCAAACAAAATAAATCATTCAGCCATTGAAAAGGAAAATGTATAGACAGTTCAGAGTTGATATGCCACCTTGGTGCTTTTCATCGGAGGGGAAACCTGATAGCGGAGGCGGTTCGTGTTTCGAGAGACTCCTTCTTTGTTGACTCATTGAAGCGAGAAAAAAAAAAAGTTCCATGTCATGGTTTTTCAGGCCAAAGTTTGCAACGTCATAACACAGTTTGCAGTTGTGTGGGTTGCACCTTTAACCCCAGGTGATCTGTGAACTCCGTGGTTTACAGTGGCGAATCAAAGGAAATTAATCCCAAACACCTAAAGGCAGTTTCATGTTCATGTTTTGAACTTGTGGGTTGAAACCAACAGCTACTGCTACGGTGTCCTATTTAGCGCCCTATGTGGGACACGTTGCATCAGAAATGCAGAAACTTTGAAATCTGGTTTCTCATCGCCAACTCTCAGGAAGCTCTGCTGTCCGGGCACATACGGTATGACACCAGTGACTGTTAGAATATCAGAGACGGACTTTTAGCAAGCAGTTGATGATCTTTACAGGGAAGATATGCACTTAATAAACACAAGTTGCTTGAGAAAGTAGTTAATTCCATTATGCTTTATGACTGCTATAATAATGTGTTGAAATCGAACAAGATGTGAGCCTTTTGATGGGATTAGTGCTACAGCGACTGATTCATTTCATTATCAGTCAATCTTCTCTCTCCGGTTTATCTTTAAAATCTTCCCGCCTCCCTGGTTGTGAACATCTTACATTTAAAATGAGCTTTTTCAAACTATTCATCCTAAAAAGAAGAAAAATGCAGGAAATCCTGAAAAGCAAATGTTGGATTTTTACTTGGAAGCTTACCAAATGATTTACGGGTTAATTACCAAAACCTTTAAGGTTACACGTCAAAAGCAATTAATTGAATAAACAATGAATCAGGTAACTGCGTCAGAACGAGTTGTGACAGTAATACTTAAACTTTTCATCTCTTTTCCGTTGAAGCTTAAAAGTTTGCACGATTGGTCGACTTATTATTGGTCTGTCGATTATTGGATCAGCATTTTTCAGGTTTCTTTTCTAATTATCAGTATTGATTTCTAGCTTTTTGAATCAGTTCCAAAGCCCCGCCCACAGCACGATCTGATTGGCTGCATGTCACAAGTAAAAGCCGATCAACACTGAAGGATACATGTTGATGTTTTCTTTTATTTAAGCATATGTAAGTCATACATACATGAACAAAAGCATTTTGTGTTGCAGTTTATGTTATTCTATAGTTTAACTTCAAGATCTTGATTTCTACTGCAAATGTGAATCAGAATTGTTATCCACCCTGAAGAAACCATGTCGGTCAACCCCTAGTTTGCACTTTAAATTACTTTTAACTAAACAAACCACTTCTTGTCCACCATTTTCTAGTAATCCTCGTTTTAAAGCTACATTCTTTTTTAATTTGCATGCTTGGGTGGGGCAATGGAGCAACCTGAAATTACAATACTGACACATTATCACCTTATAAAGTTGCTTGTTTCCAAATCCAGCAGACACTGAGTAACATTAGCTTTCATTCGGAGTCGTGTTTCTGGTCAGAAATTCAGGAATGTATGTCCAGTATTCACTCTCCTTTTAGCTCAACCATGTCGGTCTTTGCTCTGCTGTGCATGTTGGCTTGTCCCGTCTGTCGTTCGTCGCTGTGCAGGTAGCTTCCAGTGGGTTCATCAGAGCTCTTTCACTGTTAGCAGCTGCCTGCTGCAGCTGGAAACAAGGCAGCCGAAAGCAGAGCTGGCAGCTGGAGAACCGAACCAGCGGGCAAGTTTTTGGTGCTAATTCTCGATGGTTGTAACTACGAATGACCCCATTTCACATTGCGCACGGCCATCCGATACACTCTTAAAACGAAAAACGGTGATTAATGCAGCTTTTATAATAAACTTGAGAACCTTGCATCACCGCCTTAATTTTCCGTTACACTGGAAAGAAAAATACATGAAATGGGGTTTACAAGGCCTACAGCGGCGACGATTTTGACAGCCATTCACCAGGCATAACATAACCGTGCTATGGAGATCAGCCACTCTGTAAAAAGGGGCAATCGTATTACATGGAGCAGCGAAATGCTCGTTCACCTGTGGAGGCAGAAAAAACCGCAGCGCAGTCAACAGCCACGGAGCTGCTCGCTCTTCCTGTAGTAGAGGTGTCAGTTCCAGTAAGTCTATATGGATGTAACATGTACATGATGATCCATGGCTCGTCCCTCTATAACAGGCTCTTAGCGGGGGAGTGTGATAGCAGATGGCTGTCCTCTAACTGAGCTACAGGCTGCTATGATTCAGCACATGAATACCTCCTTGTTCAGACAGACATTTTTTTCTCATAAAAACCTCCGAGTTGTGTTTGCTTTCGCTAGCCCCTCTGCAAGCTGAAAAAATCTTAGCACTCTGGTCAGGATCTGCCAGTGTTTACGCCAGGATTTGATAAATAAGTTCTGATTCAGTCTCGCGGTGGGATTGCTCCGCTCTGTAGAACCGGCTTATTCTCTAATCATATCTTCAGATTACTCGCTGATTGATTATTTACACGCCACTCTGCGAATGTGTACCATGTAAATGTAATCCCCGCGTTTTGTCTCCGGCCTCGGCCCGGCGTCGAACGCCGCTGGAAGTCGGGCAGCGAGTGTGTTTTTCTTACAAAAGTGACCTTCCACTTTCTTCAAGCCTCTTTGCTTGTGCAACATGACTAAGCCAGCGTCGCATTCCCAGAATGGCCTGAGCTCTCCGGGTGAAGGGGATGTTTTCTGTGTGGGCTTCTAAGTGTGAAAATAGGAAGAGAGCTGGAGACGCCCGGGCTGCTGTTGTAAATGTCTCCTTGTAAATCCTCAGCAAACATTCTTAGGTCGCAGAGGGCGAACGGCAACAACTACTTTAAAATAAACTCACACCGGGAGTTTCTATACGAGGTTGTTTTTGCGTCAGAGGGGTGATTAGCCAGGAGAAATGTGTCCCAGGTATGACAGTGTTTATGTAAAATGTACAGATTGGATGTCAGTTGAATGGAAAAGCACAGATAAGAGGGCTGATATCGAAGGAAACAATCTTACTGCATACAACAGGGTTTCAACCGAAAACACTTGTGATGTGTGCACTTTCGTAACAGATGATGCAAGTTGGATTAGCTGGCAGTTCCGTCTGGTCGTTGAACCCATTTGAGAATGATAATGTCTTTTTTTTGTGAGCCGCTTCCAAACACATCTTTATTACGTTTGACACAACCTGCATTCGCGATGGTATTGTCGCGGCTTACACAAATCAGCAGGGCTTGAACTTTGCAGCTGAAGTTAACACCATCCCGAAACTTCGCGTCTATATTTAAAACGTGGAACTCTGACGCTATTTAAGGTCGCACATCTGCACTTGTCACTGGCTGCGTGAGTTGCGAGGTTACCCACAGTGAAGCACTAAACACCTCCAACCGCCCTGCAGTCACAAGGCCTTAGACGGAATAAAAACGCAGCCAGATA